CTGTCTTCTTAAATTCTGTTCCTTTTATTTATTTTTTTCCTTTCTCAATCCCCCTCATTCTCTTCTTGAAACATTCTGTTTTTTGGTGGCATTGTAGCTGTGCTTGGGGGTGAAACGATTGAAAAAAATTTAGTAAGAAAATTCACGGTTTTGCTATTTGAATTTTCTGATGAATCATAATTCTTAATGATTGTGGAAATTCCCCACTGAATCGTTAAGTATACCAGCTGAATAACTGTAACGAAATATTGCAATAAAAAAAAAACAAAAAAAAAAAACATAAATATGAATGAGGTCATTATTTGAAAAAGCACGAATCAAATGAAAAGAAACTGACAATTTTTTTTCCATTTCAATGAAAGCGGCGTCAAAAACCAGAGGGCGCTTGCTTCCTCACGATCAAAACTGAATAGCATAATAATATATATATATATATATATATATATATATATATATATATATATATATATATATATAGAGAGAGAAGAGAGAGATAAGTGAACATAGAAGTCAAGATGCACTTAGAGGCGACAGTCTTTTCATGCTAGATGCAATCGTCAGGCTTGAGGATTGCATCTATATTCACTTATATATTTACACACGCTCTATCTCTGATATTGAGCACTTTATCCCATAAATATAGCATCTTAAGATATATATTCTATATATTATATATATATATATCTCGGGGTCGATGACATAAAAGCACCGCTCTCCCGTAACTTCTCTTACCTGACCTGGTAGTTGCAGCAAATAGCTATTACTCTTTTTGTCAACCCTGACAGAGTGCAGTCATAAAGAACTTATCTTTTCAGATAATATCTGTTCAAGATTTAGGCGGGTTGGCTGGAGACCACAGCCGAATGACTTCCGACATGAAATAAATTCCCAATGAACAAGAAACAAAACGGAAAGGTCGTTTAAGTCTTCAACTGATGATCGAACAACAGAACTTTTTTTCATAAATAGCACCCCCCCGCCCCCACCATCACCACAATGTTTGACAACTGCTTTCAGCCCTTTTTTGTTATCCAGTCTTTGAGTTACACGGTACTTACGAGATCAGTCATAATCTATTAAAAACATGTCACCTCCGAATACACTGGAAAAAAAAAAAAAAAAAAAAAAAAAAAAATCCAGACAAAAAGCCTTTCATTTCTTTCAAAAGAAAGAAAGTAAAAATTACCTTTAGAAACTACAGTTCAATTGGTATACGACAAGAAAAAAAAACAAAAAACAACAAAACATTTAAAAGAAACGCTAATAATAACAAAAAGAAAACATAAATGGCTTTTCCCCCCTTTCTATTTTATTGCTGTTTTTGGGAGGTAAAGTTTTTGTTGGACTATAAATAGTTAGTTACTATTTTTTTTTTTTAATTTCTACTCCAGTACTTACATAATAGGGAATTCGAATGTCACAATGACGTCATACCGAACCGCCAACAAAACATGTCCACTAAATAACCCTAAACGATAATATTGAGTATTTATTTTTCTTGATAGTTCAAGCGCATATATATACACACAATGAGAGAGCTAGTTTATTATTCTTTTCATTTTGTGCAAACATTTTTTTTCTTTTGGTTATAAACAAACATCTTGTCGCCACCACGACTATTATTACCACTGTTCCTACGACGAGGATTTTTTTTATCATTCATTTTGAGGAAAATCTTATAAAGAACATTTTAAGTCATAATTTTCTGACGGTTTACCTTGATCCGTTCTTATCCACACAGTTCACTTGCAAGATCCGCTGGCGAGAGAGTGAAGGCGACGGGGTCGGGTAAAGGATATTACTGGAAGGCTCTAGCTGGAGCTCTACACAGTGGCAGACCGATGGGTGATGGCCGTTCTTTCAGAAACCCATGAGCAATTGTGATGTCCGTGTCCTCCATCGGTGACAAGGTAGCCCTATTTAGGACTGCACTGCTTTCCCTATTATGGGGAGGGGGCGATAAAAGGAGCCCTAAACATTGCTTGCTCACACAGAGACTTGGCAGCCCGCTGCAGCTATCTGGTTATCCAATAAAGCAGTCGAAACAGCAAGTAATATCAGAATAAATATACGAATTTCCATTTTGGATCCTGGAATGTTCGCACTCTTCAGGACAATGATTCTGCACCAGAGCGTAAAACAGCCCTTATTTCTGTCGAGTTAAAGAAATATAACATCGACATAGCGGCCACTAGTGAAACACGTCTGGTTGGTAATTCTCAGCTTAGGGAAGAAAACGGCGGATACGTATTTTTATGGGCTGGCAAGAGAAACCAGGAGTTGTACATGGTGTTGGTGGACTTGACGAAGGCCTTTGACACTGTGAATCGAGAGGCTCTTTCGCAAGTCTTGAGGAAACTTGGCATCCCTGAAAACATGCTAAAGGTCATCATCTCCTTTCATGAAGGAATGAAAGCTAATATCGTGTCTGATGGTATGATGTCAGAATCCTTTAATGTCACAAATGGCACCAACCAAGGTTGTGTCATTGCCCCTGTCCTTTTTGCCCTTTTCTTCTCGGTGATGCTGAAATATGCATTTGCAGACACAGAGAGTGGCGTCAAGTTTCAGTTTCGAACAACTGGTGGTCTCTTCAATCATCAGCGTTTCAAAGCCAAGACCCACCTTCGTACGCAAATTATTCGTGATTTGTTGGTTGTTGATGATGCTCTTGCAACGACATACTTTGAGGAGGCCCAACATCTAATAAATCGTTTCTCTGCTGCATGTAAAGCATTTGGTCTTACACTTAGCATAAAGAAAACTGAAGTAGTGCACCAACTTTGTCCTACTCCGAAGCAATTCCGTGGTGAGAAACAAAAACCACCAGTCTATAAATTTCCAGAGAGACCATTGAAAGTAGAAGACAAAACCCTGAACTATGTAAAGTCTTCCACCTATCTTGGTAGCATAGTCAATTACAGTCGAACTTTAGATGATGAAATCATGCATCGGATTGCTAAGGCTACCAGTGCTTTCGGCAAACTTCGACATCGCTTGTGGAATGAGCGGGGTATTTTACTGGATACGAAAATTCGGGTTTACAGAGATGTTGTACTTGCTATCCTTTTGTACGGCTCAGAATCGTGGACTCCATACAGGTACCATATACGCCAGTTGGATGTTTTCCATAAAAGCTGTCTGCGTGCTATCCGTGGCGTTAACCTTTAAGATAGGACATCTAACGTAGACATGTTTAACAAGTGTAATATTTGAGGAATCGAGACTTCTCATACAGTCTCAGTTACGGTGGACTGGTCATGTCTTTAGAATGTTTAAGGACAGGGTACCCAAGATCCTAATGTACAGCCAGTTAGATCAGGGCTACAAGAATGTAGGACGCCCATGGTTAAGATACAAAGATAAGCTGAAAAGCAACTTGTCAGCTATCAATATACTACATAACACTGTTGAGCGCTTAGCCTTGGAGCGGGTAAAATGGAGATCAACGTGTTTTAGTGTACTCAGCAGTTTTCAATCTGCTTGTCTGAATCATCTTCAAGAAGCGAGAGCAAGATTTAAAAGGTGAGCCAATCTAAGAGTGATCTCTTCTCACAATCTTCACACTTGCTCCGTACGTGGCCTCCTTTGTAAATCACTAGTGGGTCTTAAATGCCACTTAAGATTATCGCACAAAATTTCATAACTGAATCAACTAAGCTGTCAGATCCTCACACGTCGAAACCGACGGTAGAGTCCATTATATATATATAAAATAATGCATATTACATTAAATAATATAGACAATTTTTGTCTATTTATTTTAAGCAAAATCCTTTCGTATCGTTTGATAAGCTTAATAACATTATCATTGAAAGACGAAAGAAAATCACCATATTGATACATGTTTTTTTAATCCTGTCTAAAGCTTTCGGCTTACATAAGCCATCATGAAAGATGACAATTACATTACAATAAATTAAACAATACACGGACATAGCAACAATGATAGTCTGTTTTGTTTGCATGGAAGATTTCCAAGTAGCGACAAACTCGTGCATACGAGACGCTGAAAGCGAAAATCGCACCGCGGCCCATGATATCACACATGACCACGCGAGAGTGAAAACGAGAAGTGTTAAATATGGGAAGCCGTTGGTATAAACCAACGGCTTCTGTTATCAATTATAGGCATTTGAGTATATTAAATAAGTATAAGAATATACTTAAATGCCTATAATTGATAACAGAAGCCGTTGTTTAATTTATTGTAATGTAATTGTCATCTTTGATGATGGCTTATGTAAGCCGAAAGCTTAGGATTAAAAAACATGTATCAAAATAGTCATTTTCTTTTCTTTATATATATATATATATATATATATATATATATATATATATATATAAAAAATCATGATAAAACCACATTAATCCGATATCAGTTTTATTATTTGCACACTCCCTGTTGTCTTTCAAGCGGCCACACATATACACGGAGTTGTATATATTATTGATATTTTTGGGTGTAGTTTTGAACCAATATGGTTTTAACTCCTCACCAATTTCAATGAGGCTTTTGCTACAATATTTAACTTTGTCATCGTATAATATTTGGCATGCTGAGAAGCTGTGATAGATTCAGTACAAGAGAAAACTTCTATAGGTTTTTAACAGGTATGAAGTGTTTGCAATAAAACGTACAAAGAAAAAAAAATTTACTTATGTTTTATTGGAGGCGAGTAATTTATGTATTCACATTTGCCGCCATTTGTTCTATTATTTATTTCAGAAAAATAAAGACAACCAGATTATTGAAAAGAAGAGAAAATGAAGATGCAAACCAGTGAACTTTTATCTTTTGACTATTATTATGTAGTAGATCACTGTGTTGATGATAAATATTTATCGCTTTCAAAAAAGGTAATTGGGGAAATATTTAACGATGTGTGGGTGCTGGAAATCAGAGAGACGACACTCTCATTAAGCAATAACAAAAAAAGGCTCCATAAACTGGTCATAAATCACAAAGGTCAAATTAACAATGTAGGGTGAATGATTTTTCAAAACGATAATCCCTCAGTCATCTTAAAAACGACAATAGATTTTAAATTTGATGGAAAAAGGCGATAACGGGGATTGGCTGAGAAAAAAAAGGATGTAGGGAACGACAGGGAGGTTGGCCGATGAGAGAGAGAGAGAGACGACGGGGGAAAGTCAGCGACAAGACACGGGGAAAAGAGAAAAAGACTGCAAGAGAGAGAGAAAAACGACGACGGGGAAAATGAGAAAGAAGAAAGAGAGAAAGAGAAAAGAGACGATAAAAAATAAAAAGGAGAAAGAGAAAGAGAAAAGAGAAGAGAGAAAGAGAAAGAGAGAGAGAGAAAGAGAGAGAGAGAGAGAAAAGAGAGAGAGAAAGAGAGAGAGAGAGAAGAGAGAGAAAGAGAAAGAGAGAGAGAGAGAAAGAGAAAGAGAGAGAAAGAGAGAGAGAAAGAAAGAGAGAGAGAAAGAGAGAAGAGAAAGAGAAAGAGAGAGAAAAGAGAGAAAAGAAAGAGAGAGAAAGAGAGAGAGAAAGAAAAAGTTTCGAGAGAAAGAAAAAGAGAGAGAAAGAAAGAGAGAGAAAGAGAGAGAGAAAGAGAGAGAGAGAGAGAGAAAGAGAGAGAGAGGGAGAGAATTAAGAGAGAGAGAGGGAGAGAAAGAGAGAAAGTGAGCGACGAAAGAAGAATTTTAAATTTTAGATATGAACTTCGTCTAAATGACTTTGAACCATGTCTATCAAAAATGATATTAATTGATCCCATTTACATTTACGGAAACAGGGTTCAGATTTAGACCAGTGGACTTGAGGTGACAAGGGTTGATATCAAGGCGTCATTGAAATCATGTATATTAATGGTTTGATGTAGACTCCGCGTCGCTATATTTTTGCACTATATTTGAGGAATCGTTTAAATTTAAACAGTTCGCATGGCCCTATTGTGTGCAATAGAGCCAGGCGAACACTCGAGGTTTCAGAGTGTCATAGACAATTTTCAGCTCAATTAGTAAACCGTATTAATGTTATATGTATTTAAGAAAAGGCAAGGTTAAAAACAAAACTATACTATTTCTAATTAAAAAAAAAAGAAAAGAAGAAAATAGAGGTATACTTCTAGAAACCCTTATCTAAAGAGAAGAGACGAAATTCACGAAAATACCTTAAATGTTGCATTTAACTGACTTCTTTTGAAGGTGATTTGCAGTGGAAAAAATATACGGACTCAACACCACAAAAACATAGGATTCTAGATAATGATAAAAACAAGGAAAGCCATCTTGAAAATTATTTTTTAGTGTCCGGCGTATGACTCCATAAGCGGGTAATGATCGATTCAACGTAAAAAAGAAAATCAGCACGTTTTATAAACCCTCCCTACATCAATGTGCATGTTTAAATTAGGTACCTGCACAGATTCACGATACTTAAGGTTTAAAATTTTTTTTTAAATGAAAAATCTTTCTTGACGTTTTTCTTTTAGTTTTAATTTCAAGCTAACAGATTAAATCTAACATTTCTAATAAGTAAAATACTTTGCTGCATTTCAAAACTAATTTAAATTGACTTAAAGGAGTTTTCGTTTTGGACTCGCTAACCATCGTTGATTTTAATGTATGTATTTATGAGATATTCTAAACTTAAAGTAAAGTAAATAATATTTGTTTCAAATGATTAATTATCAGCTAATATTCCTCAAATAAAATTTGAGGGAATTATATTTTATTTTTGGAAGAATTCTTTTTTAATAAAGAGGATTAAATTGCGATTCAAGACGACTTTAAAAAAAAGAAAAGAAAAAGCTATTTTAGTTTTCGAAGTTTAATCTGTCCGCTGCCGCAGACGAGATAACTCGTCATACAACGGTGTCATTTTTAAAACATTAAACTTTCTTGTCACCGAATTTATTTATTTTTTTTTGTATATTGTGAGTTTGAGAACAAAGAATGTTCTCGAAGACTATATGACAGTGGTTTTCTAAATATTCTTACCCATGGCGCACTTTAGGATACACTGCTTGTTACAAAACATCCTAAGTGGGACCAAACATCTTCAGTTATATCTTTTAGGTGTTGTCTACCTTCAAGGTGAGGCTTACGGACACATGACTTTGAAACACCTGTCCCCCAACGATCACCGTTAGTAAGTGACCCCTTAGGAATACCAGGTGCTGATGTGTAGGTAGTGTAATCGATAATGGCTCGGAATTGTTAATCGGTGAGCCGAGTTCCAATTCAAGTCGGGTTCGTTATATCCACTTACGCTCAAATACCTTTGGAAAAGGCATAAATTCACCTCTTCTCTCCCAGCTATGGGTTAATTAGGACTTGTATCGCTAAACCATTATTATCTTTAACAAAATCTTGCATTCTCTAATTTTTGGCTTTAAATAACCTGCAAAAAACTTGAAAACTTGTAAAGATAAACATGTAAACATCTTGTTGACAGTTTTATTAACGTTATTCTGAATAATTTGTTTCCAAGTATTTCAAGTAATTAAAACAACTTGAATGATTAGAGAACTTAATTCTTACAATTAAAAAAATATTTTCTGGCTTTAAATAACCTACCAAGGGTTGATAAACCGTAGAAAAACGAATCAGTCAAACTTTCAGAACGTTCGAGATGATAGCCCTCGACAACTTTTTATCCTTTGTAACTTTTAGCAATGTTTTTCCTTTTTACTACGCCTCCCATTTCATGTGCATTCATTAGCAAAAACTCAGTAAGCAAAAGCGATATGACTATTTTAAGTCATACTAGCCGAAATTCCAAGTTTACGACACCTGGTATAACCAAGCAGGTACCCATCTAGCTATTAACCAGGTTTGCCGTTGCTTAACCTGGGTGATGGTATGAGAGCAAGTGTTTCAACGTGATTTGGCCGTAAGCCCTGAAAAACTAGCATGACCTGTTGAGATTAACGTAGGACAAAGTATGTTCAACGAGAACAGGTCAATCAACGTTTTAAAACTTGTCTCTTTTGTTCGACACACACAAAAAGAGATTATTTTTGGAAAATAAACAGTTTGCACATGTATAGAGAACAAATTACGTGAATAGACAAAATATAAAGAAAAGTAGAACAAGGACATATATATATATATATATATATATATATAGGATTTACAGTAAGATGATTTTAAGAGGGCTTTAAGACCAATCAAAATTCATTATCATCTGACATAACCTTAAAATAAACCGAGCAGAAGGTAATTTTATTTTTTTATTCAGAAAAAAAAAAAAAAAAAAAAAAAAAAAAATAGACAAGATCAGCCTTTTACTGTATTTCTTACTTTATTCTGATTCAGAACAGATTTTCTGTAACTCGGGCTGTTTGACACGAGAATATCACAATTTAAGGTTTCCGAGTACTTGTTATTATAACTAATTAAGCGTTGCAAAAAAAAAAAAAAAAAAAATTTTATAAGACACTCAAATTTCCCATATTAATTTATGTCACGATAGCGGCTCGGATTGAGGAATCGGAGAGCCGAGTTCGAATTCCAGTCGAATCCATTACAATCACTTACGTGCTAATACCCTTGGGAAAAGGTATGAATCCTCTTCTCCACTCAGCTATGGACAGACCGGGTTGGATGACAACTGGTCTACCGCAGAAAGAAATGACAATCTACTGCGGGAAAAAAAAAAAAAAAAAAAAAACCTACCTCGTCCGTCATGTATCGAAAGACATGATCGCCTAAGGGTGTATTATGCATGGCACATCACCGACTGAATTTGTGGTCACAAATTTCCCATAATAATTTATGTTTACCCGCTGGCGCAAGAAGAAGTAAGAAAATAAAGAAAAAATTTTAAGCGAAATTGCGAAGGTCCTAAAAAGGATAAAAATATATATTTTAACAATGAAAAAAAATTCTTTGGGAGGGGAATATCTTATTTCAAATTCTGTCAAAGATTCGCTAAAAAAATGATCATACATTACGAAAAAGATGATCGAAAAAGATGATCGAGTTCTTGAGGCGTGTGACTGCTGGATTGAATTTTATGCCACATAAAATCCTGCTATATATTCATATAAAATACAAATTCTATTGTAACTTAATTATGTACAATAATGGATCATTTGCAATATAGATGAACAACTTCATAAAACAATGTTTTATCGTCAAAATGTTACCATCATTATTAAGAAAGGATAAAACATTGTTTTATGAAGTTTGGGGCATCTTTTTCGTCATGTATGATGATTTTTAGCGAATCTTTGACGGAGTTTGAAATAAGATATATTCCCCTCGCAATCTTGAAAAACCAAAGAAAATGTTAAATTTTAAAAACTAAATTCAGATAATTCTAAGATTTAAAATTTTTCGGAAATTATTCGGTAATAAATAGAATTATTTTTAAAGATTTTAAAAAGATTTTGTAAAAAAAAATAAATAAAATAAACTGAAATGAAATGGATATCTGTGTCGCAAAGTTTAATTTCCTTATCTGGCAACAACCCCTGGGTAACAGGAAAAGAGTACAAACCTAAATGAGAAGCACTTTGCAGTTGTTTTGGTGGTTCCTTATGCATTTAAAGTGGTTCAGTCAGTTATGTGCCATACAAACTCAGGTGATTATGTATCTTTTGATACATGACTGACGAGGCAGATGTTTTTCTCGCAGTTGGCTGCCATTTCTTCCTGCGGTAGACCAGTTTCCATCCAAGGCTATAGAACCCGGTCTGTCCTGCTATTTAACCATAGATGGGAGGAGAAGAGGATTCATTTCCAAGCACGCAAGTGAATGTAATGGATTCGACTGGAATTCGAATATCCATTATATTTTCTAATAAATGTAGTATTTTAAATGGACAAACAACTTAGATTTGAAATTTGATCATCTTGACGTCAGCGAAGCAATAGGAACCGAACGAAGGTCATGGAAAGGCAGGAGAATACTACTACTATTACTAGTACTGAGCAGGGCCGGTGCAAGGGTCTCCTGCCGCCACCGAATCTATGATATGCACCCCCCCCATTCTACTATAGCTCAATTTTCATCAAAGGTAGTATTCATATAAAATACACAATTTTATTGTAACCTAATTATGCACAATAATGAACCATATACAATGTAGGTGAACAATTCAACTATAAAAATTGAAAATAAATACAATGCATCTAAATACAAATGTCATAATGGATAATTCCATCTTAAATAAATCAACGATGTTTAATGGATGAAAAATAGTGAATTTTAGTGTTTTTTGAGATTGACTTTCAGTAAAACAAACTCTCGTTGTCAGCCTGAGTCTCGAAGGATATGTAAATTTTAAACAAGATTCCTGTAACGCTATGCAAATTGGGTTCTATAAAAAGGGTAACTTGATTGCAGTTGGTGAGCTTGTCGGTGAGTCGCTAAGTTTCGTGGGGATCGAGTTCTTGAGGCGTACGACTGCTGGATCGAATTTTATCCCACACATAAATTCCTGCTATATATGCATATAAAATACAAATTTTATTGTAACCTAATGTACAATAAGGGATCATTTGCAATATAGGTGAATAATTCACCTCGAAAAATTGAAAATAAATACAAAATAAATATAAATTAGATACATAATAGATTATTCCATCTTCAATCAACAAATATTTTGAGGCAATTTTTAACTTCAACTTGAGATTTGTTAAAATATTGAATAAATTGATATATTTAAGATTATGGATAATAAAATACTGAATTTTATATAGTTTTTTTAGAGACTTAGCATAAGTAAAACCAAAAAACAAAACAAAAAACCATAAAACATAAAAC